ACCTTGGGCATGTTGCATGTGAATTTGTTGTTGGCGAGGATGGTCCATGCATATCGATGGATCCCCGTTCCGAACGACCCGCCCGACCCGACCGAGACTTTCGCCTTTACCGTGGTGATGAAGAACCCTCTCAAGGCAATTATGTTGCCCAGACAAGAAAAGAGTAGCCTTGGGGGAACTATTGAGTAATTAAGGACCCTCTTAATGTTTAGTTTGATGTAGTTCATTATGTTATGCTTGAACTAGGTCTCGTGTGATGGGTCTATTAAAGGATGATAGACATCGACATAGATGTTTGGAAGTAGTGCGAGCAACTACTATATGCTGTCTTCAGTTTCTGAAGAACATTTTAAGGTTTTAATAATCATTCTATCTTTTGGGCATACTTATAATTATTTTCTCTGAACATTCACCACACAGATCTACAAGCTTCTTGAGTTTCAGTTCATCAAATTTCTCCAAAATGAAAAGCTTACTGCAAGGACGGCCAACGTCCCTGTAAGCGATTTTGGCTGAAAGGACTACACTGGCATAGGACTAAATTAATCAAATTAAAAAATTGACTAAATTGGCATCTGCATAATAAGTTTGAAATTTTTTTGGTAATTTTTATGATATCTTTTCATGGTATAGAAAGTAATGATAGCCTGATGTTAAAACAAATTTATCTTCCAATTAGCATATTTCACATCAATCACTTAGTAAATCAATCAATTCATGAATTGCTCTTAATATACATACTAATACTATGCGTGTTGATGCACCCGCTAAACATGAATGCCTTGCATCTACTTTTTGTTTCTTCACTTGAGTAGGCAAATCAATACTAAACATAAATAACATTTTTCTCTCTTGTTAGGCATCATACGATGGATACAATACATGATTGTGACATGTGGTACATTAAGTCAAAGAAGAGAGAGTGATGTCGTAATCTATAGCACGCAGACAATGTGATTGGTCGGTCACACTATGTCAGCAGTGTTAACCAACACGAACATTTCTTTGTCTCTTTCGGAATAATACCTACGAGAAATTCATCATTCCTTACTTGTTTGTTTGCATTTGCAATTCGATTTTGGATCTTTTATTTGTTAGGACATTTTTGCAACACCTCATACCCCATGTCCCAACTTCGCCACCGCCAAATCTCCTCCTAAGCTTTGAACGATAAATGCACACTTCTCTTTCCTAAATCACTTTCTAATTAGTAACACATCAATGGCTAGTTTCAAGCTAAACGTAGGTTACCAGAACTTTCCACGTTCAGCACTAAAAATCAGTAAGGGCCCATTTGGCAACTTGCCAAATAATAAAATTTTTTGTTCTTTTGTTCCCAGAATCAGTTTGGGAACAGAAATCCGTTTCTTAAATTTTTTGTGCCCGGGCATAATTTTGCAAAAAATTGTCCCCAGAATCAGTTTTAAAATAGAATCAAGAAGCAAAAAAAAGTAGCTTCTTGATTCTGGAACAATTTTTTCATTTCTGATTCTTCTTGGTATTCTTCTTTTTTCTTGGTTTGTTCTTCTTCTTCTTCCCGGCCTACCCCCGCCTGCCGCCCACTTGCCGCTGCCTGCCGCCGCCTGCTGCCGGCCACAGGCCAAGGTCGGCGAGGGCGTCGCGACCCTCGCCGATGGCCAACAAGGGTCCCCCTCGCCGCCTGGGCAAGCACGGCTCGCGGCTGCGACGACGAGGCCTCACCATGGCTGGGCGAGGCTCGACCTCGCCCAGATCTGGTGACGGCGAGGGCGGCGGTGAGGGCTGCGACGCCCTCGCCGGCCATGGCCAAGGAAGGGAAGGAAAAAAAAAGAAAAAAAAGAGAACGAAATATTTAAAAATTCAAAATATTATTAATAAAAAGAAATTTTGTGTAATTACCAAACGCATTTCTGTTCTTTTTCTATTCTAAGAATAGAAATTTTAGGCAGTTACCAAACGCCTTCAAATGCTTAGAAATTGTTCCCGAGTACGGAATCAAAAAAAATCATTTCTGAGTAGAATATGTTCCCGGGCACAGAATGGTTACCATGCACAGCCTAAATGCCATTACTGTATAGGTCCAGTAAATCTATTTCAAAGAAAAATTACCAAAAAAGCCATAATGGATATCAATTTAGTTCTAAACCTTTTAATTTGGTCAATTTAGTCCTAACCCTTTTGACGATTTGCTAATTTAGTCATCCGTCAATTTTGGTCAGAAACCATTGGCGTGGTCACCGACCAACCTATGTGATACAACCGGCACTGACGTAGACAATTTTCACATATTTTTAAATTTAAAAATAAAAGAAAAAAAATCAGAAAAACTGTGATTATTTTCATTAGTCTCGAGTCTCATTGTGATTTTGGTTTAGTATAATCCAATGATTTTAGATAAAGAATTTTTGTCCAGTAAAAAGAAAAGGACTTGAGGTGGGCAATAAAGACAGAGAGATGCAGCAACATCGATTCCTTCTTCATTTCCTTCTATTGGTGACCAACAGTAACATTAACTTCTGCGAACAACCAAGTTATCAAAACATGGTTAGTCTCATTTACATTTCTCTGTGCACGACCGAAAACATTACCAGAATTATCATGCGGAGGCATTTACGTGGACAGAGACCTTTCACAGCATACGTTCCTTGTGAGGAAAACGTAATCAATTCTCATGTACAGAGCACCTACTATATTTTTAGGGGGTTTATTCTCATGTGATCAATTATCATGAGAGTGAGCTCCCCGAGCACTTGCATTGATAACTACTCTCCGTTCGCATCGTGCCGGAACGATTAAGATTGTAAAACCCCAGAAAACGGAACTCGGATTCGATTCCTCTATATATGATCTTTCTAGGTCTTAACCTATACAAGATAGTGCATGTTTATGAACCCTCTCGTCCCTAAGTCGGTAATCCATCTTTGAACGGTTGAGATGATAGATTTAAGTCGGTGGTCGATGTAACTTTCGTCGTCTTTGATCGTGACCTTCCTTGTCCTGATCCTTTGACGGATCCTAATGGTCTTCTTCGTGATTTGGAGGCTTTTATCGAGCAGTTTTCGATCTCAGCTCTAAAGATTTCTTCTTTGCCTACGATCATTGTTCCATTGGCTACAGGGAATCGCTGTGTTACTGTTCCCGATAATTCCGTTCCTCCTTGCCATTGACACTCGAGAAATGCCCTTTCGCCGCTTTCCTTCTTCGCCCTTCCATGCTCGCATTTGCATTGTCTACCATTGAAATCTTTATCGCGTATTACCGGTCGATTGTTCAGCCCCTAATTTCTTATTATCAAATTTATAAATGCCTTGTTAACATGTAAGGTAATCATGTTTTCGGTTTCGATTTATTTGTGCCAGGAATGTTACGCTTGCTTTTACAATATGCAACTATCATGTCCAACTCTTTCTTGGGTCGAGTGTTTCTGTCTACAATCAGAGAACGAAGACATTGCAGTTGCAGCTACTATACTGCATCTGGTGTTGCTGCATCTATCTTACCTGGTGCCCATACTGCTCTGCCATAGAATATATATGAGGGCACATTGCAATCCAAATTTCAGCAATTTTTTCTGAGTGTTGGAGACAAGCCTATGATTGGAGGTGCCCATGATCAATAAAATGGAATCTTCTTTAGTTGACAAGAAACCGACATCTCTTGCGAATGATGAGTGTCGTGGAAATAACGTAAAAGTTAACTTACAATTCAAGTCAAACGTGAAAAAAAGAAAATTACTACAGAAACTAACGAGAAACAATAAGGAAAATGAGAGATTTGTGTGGTTCGATCTAAGTATCGATATCTACTCGCTCGAGTGTTTTCCAGCCTTAGAGTACAACCAAAGTACACCCCAAAAGTGTTTCTCAAGTAGGAAAACTCTTAGCACTTCTCTTGTGCTCTCAAGTTAATAACAGAGTAAAACTCCATCTCTTATACATACACAATATTTGTATCCGAAATTTAAATAAAAAATAAAAAAAAAACGTACTCAAATTAAAAAAGCTATTTAAATTGGGTTTCCTTTACCGGCTCAAACTCAAGACATATTCTCAACAATAAGCGTATGCAAATTGAAGACGTCTAACAACATTTGATTTTCGATTTTAGGTATATCTCAAAATTTGTCTCAATTTTTTGCAATTTTATAGAAACAAATTTCTTCTATGAACAATAGGTTGTCATTTTGTATATGCAGAACTTGCACTATTATCTTAAGGTAAGACTTCTCACCATTGAAAAAGAGAGCGGGCCGCGGAATAGAGCAGGTAACAAATGCAAGAAAAGGGTCGTGATACCACAGGAAGTGGCAGAATGTCCGATATGGAGGAACAAATGTTGTTCTATTTGAAATTGTGATAACACGTCAAAAATTTGCCGAAGGCATTCATGAACAAAAGCCAAAAACAAAACAAATGCTTTAAAGCAAAACTCGTGGTTTGATGATGCAATTGAACAAGTACATGTCACATTATTCGATAAAGCGAAAAAGTCATTGAATGCCCAGAAAACCGCTTCTTTATTTTGATCGGAAGATAAAGGGACGTACCGAGCACATCTCATTGTGTAAGAAAAAGTGGTGCATATTCCACAACAAGAGGGAAGAATAATAGCACAACAAGAAAATAAGGACATTACAACTATCGTAATTCTCGTACGGTATTTACTTGATTTTTTAACCCAATGATTCAATATTTAACTATCTGCCACAAGATAAATTTGTTCAGCAAGTGAAAAAAATCCTTCATATTTGTTTAGGTTCACATCGTGAATGACGATGCATCAGCTTGTTTTTCGCATTTTACATATTTTTCTTCTGATTTCATCCACAATCATCACATACCCAACAAAAATGTCATTCTACCAAGTTGCCTCTGCGCGCAATAAAAATTAGGGTTTTGGATTGTTACTCGTAGTAATGGCAATCTCAGTCTCAAGAACAAAATAAAAAATAAGGATCAGTTTGCGAACAAAGGTGTAAAACTAGGAATACGTTATTTTATCAGTAGCTTCTTCTGAAGTTGCTATCCTCTGCAGTAACCTCCGGGACCTCCATAGCTGATCATGTAGTCCATCTCTTGTCCGACATATTGACGGTTCTTCAGACCATAAACCTTGGACTTATCCACCCACTCTCTCATGTCCTTTGAACCAGGAAGATATGAATAGTCACCATGCCCATTAATCCAAAAAAGCTGTCGAAAGTATGCGGCATGTTTAAAGTCACGACCGGGCATGTGGCCACTTCCCATCGGCGGACAGACTCCATCGCCTCCGGCAAGGCCAACTCCTCCCCAAGCTGTATGCCGTGAACCATTGCGTAGATACAAGAACAACTCGTTGGGCCAGTAACCCACTTTAACCGGTGGATCGCTGACGACTACTAACCACCAATTTCCGGTTGCTCGGTCCTGGTTAGACAGAAAGAACTGCTGATGAGTTTTCTGCCTCAACTGGTATGATTGCAATATCTGTTCTTTATCAAATGCTATCGGAGTTAGATCCATTCTTCATTAACTTAAAAAGTAAAGCCTACCTGCTGTATAAGGATTGAAAACTCATATTGATCTCCACCATATGTAGAAGAATGACTAAAGGGAAGACCGGTGGTTATTCTCCTGTCAACTTGGACAAAACCTGGACATAATGTGTTGTAGCATCCATTACGGTAGCCATCGCCCTAAAGTTGATGCTTTAGTCAATAAATAAGAAAACCTATCTCCGATTTCCATCCTTGATTTTGAAAAGTAAAGGGAGAAAGAACGTATTATTTTTCAACTAACCGTCCAATATATGAACAATCGAGAACTAGTATCACCATAGAGTTGCGGAAAAACCTAGTAAAATATAAGAGATATTAGATTGTTCTCAGATTTTTACTCATACGCATAATCATCTTCTTGATACTCATAGGTATAATTACCTGCCAGCCAGCTGCTATCATGCTAATATGATCGGCGGGACCAGTTTCAATCCATACATTATGTGAACTAAACTGATCATGAGCAACAGTTAGATTATATATGGACAAACTGGCGTAAATACCGAATTTAACATTTCTTATCTTGTTGTCTACCAAAGAGACCACCTGCAAATGACATCAAGTAATGATATTACTTGAATGGGCAAAATGGAAATATCTTTTTTGTTCACCTAGTCATGTTTTCTTCATGCACCGCCAGGTATCCTTGGAAGTAGTTCACAATGGTAAGGGTGCCAAAAAAAGCCCAAAAGGCCCGAAATTCCAAGAATTTTCAGGCTTGAGTAACACCGGGCTGGCCTTCGAGTAGATTTGAAAGTTTTCTTTCGTGCCAGTCCTAGTCTCAAGCATAAGATCCTTGGGCATAAATTGGCCTAGACCGGCACGGAATGTTCAAAAAAATCTGAAATTTTTGAAAAATATATATAGGAAATTTGATTGACATCATTAATTATTTATGAACCTCAATAAAATCTTAAAAATATGAAAATTAACTTTCGACCTCAAATCAGCCATAAGAAGTTTAGCCATGTTAAAGTTGACATGTGCGACTTCCGTTCTGTTAATGGTATTTATGACCTTTAATAAATTCATGTTAGTTATTTGAGAATGGTATGTTATAGTTTTGAAATTTGATACTGACTAATTAGAAAAGACAATATAACTAAATTTAGAACGCCTACCCAAACCAGCCTGAATCGAACATGCCCAAAAATACGTGATCAATATTTTAGAAGGCAACCAACTCTTGGCCATTTATAGAGACTGTATTGGAATTTTTTACATGTAGCTTATAAAAGATGATTTCAATCCATACGTGACTTGTCTTCTCTTGCTTCAAAAACATAAAGATGATTTCAACCTATACTTGACTTGTTTTTTCTTGATTCAAAAACTTTCGTGGTTAAATTAACTGCATTATCCAAGAGAACATATGTCAAGCACGACCTAAGAAGAGAGAGAGAGGTGTACATGTTGACTAGAAGGAGCATTTTGCTTCATAGCAGCTAAGGATGGAATCTTGAGCAAGGACTTTTCCTTATTCAAAACTTCCTTCGTTGCTCGAAGAATCGGGACTGTTCCAACTGGACAAGGTTCTTTCAACCCCAATTGTGCAGCGTTCACATTTGCAGGAGCTTTATGAAATCTTTTGAAATGTAAGTTTGGTTCTTTCTAAAAAGGAAAAGAAAACCAATTATAGAACTATCAAGTAGAACAATTTATGAGAGCAATATGATGTTGACCAAACTTGATTTAAAGTTGATCAACGAGAACATCATAAAAAATCTTTACCTGAACTTTATGTCCCTTCAATAGAGGATGTTCAAGCGCCGGTTGTTTGTCAATATCAAAACAGTCATAGACATCTCTTTCCGCAGTCTTCATAAAAAAATCATGACACAATCAATCTTTCATCAAATAAACAATGCTGGTATGAAACTCAACAAGATAAAAAGCAGCAAAACATGATAATAGAAATAACAAGATTCCCAAATAGATTGCAAAACGATTACCGAAATTGTCTTGATCGATGCCTTAACCATAAATTTAATCTGTCTTTCCAACTCTGTGTCATCATTATCTGAAACAGCGATTTCACAAATGGAAGCACCCAAGAATATGAATAACAAAGGCAAAAGTTTCATTTTCATCAATTTCATGCTGAGAAATGGAACTTGAAGATTGTGCTGCACATTCCTCTGGCTATGCCTATTTATAGAGAAATATTAAGTCTACTAATAATACTTGACAAAATTGGTACAATAAGTGATGTGCCACATTATTATTAAGTATTGAATATCGCCCACTTATCTAAATGCCCATCTACAGTATGTCCCATCACTTATCTTTATTTCGTATTTGTATTAATATTGCCCCTCATTCTTTGAATTTCACTAAATAATTTGGGGGTTCCAAGGAAGTTTTCCTTGCACATATATTCATGAGAATAGCCAAAAAAAACATGTTTTGGGAAACTTGTCAATACAGCTCCTAGAATGACTAATTCCAAAATTTTGAAGAAAAAAAGCTATTAATTTCTAAGATATATGTTCTTGTGAAAATACATTTGTAATCACTTTCCAATTTTGCATCTACGCCAATTAATATTACAGGCGCCTTTAACGTAAAATTATTGTAAAAGTGTCCTTGAAAAAATGCATGTCTGCCATTTTACCACCAAAAAATGCATGATCTCCACTTGTCTCGAAATTCTTCCACGTTGACCACATGCATTACGATTGGGAGGGCCTCAGTTATTTTCTAACGGTAGAGAAATTTAAGGACTCTTTCTTGACATTTTGAGGTTCAAACATCTTAATTGTTGAATTATTCAATCACAGGTTACCATGTTCATATATAGATTAAAGGTTGGGATGATCAACTTCATTTCCTAGTGTCAATTTAATTATGACTCTTTACATTTCTCTTTTTTTCCCCAAATTTTTGTTGAAATGGAGAAGACTTTTATGATGAAGCCATAAAGGTCAGATAGTTTCTTTTTGGGTGAACTACAGTTTAGTCCTCTAAGTTTCATTGTACGTACGATTTGGTCCTCTCACTTTCGTTTTATGCAATCAAATCATCTATCATTCTCGATTTGTGCAGTTTAGTTCTCTAAGTCTTATTTTGTTCGTTCAAGTCCTTTGACATTCTTGACTCGTGCAATTCATTACTTCCTTTACTCGCCGTAACTAACATTATCAAATTAGGGTTTCTTTTTTCTTGCTTTTCACAATTTGTTTTTCGCTAATTTGGCGCCACCTTAACATCGAGTGACATTTTTTAGACAATTTGACAACGCATGTAGTAAAATTTAGGGCTATGGCCTGTTACTCATAGTAATGGCAATCTCAGTCTCAAGAACAAAAAGAGAACAACAGTACGGAACTAAATATAAATAAGGATCTGTTTGCAAATAAAGGTGAATGTTCGTAAAATTCTGAACGTGTCAATGAACAAGTAATATAATGATAAGAAGAGTATCATCCCACAGAGATTGATGATTAATAAACCAATTAAATATTAAAAATAGACTAATTCTAAAATTTATCTAATAGATCAAAATAGAATTGAGAATAAATAAAAGTTGACAATTTTAGAAACAAAATTTTAGAAACTAAAGGCAAATAATCAATTAGATAAAATATGTTAGAGCATCCGATTTCACCATCACCACTAGATATGAATTTCATATCACTATGCATATAGAATAATATCAAACACGTGATAGCGTAATTTCCTAGTCTATTTACTATCCTATCTCTAGGTATAGCAAACCTACTCAGTTTATCAATCCACTATATATGTCTATGTGAATTTAAATAAACATAAGTGCATTAAAATCTGTGAATATTCCCGGTTTACAATGAATCTTTGGGACCACCTTATTACCGAAAGCCACACAAATAACATGGCATATCTCTATCCACATTTAATTCACGGTTATATATTATAAGGAGCAATTGCATATTATCGCTTCTCAGTCTCAAACATGCACATCAGATCATTCAAGTGGTGACCAGTCACTTAAAGGCATTAAGCACAATAATATATAACTCACATGAATGAAATCATTTGCAAAACATAAAAAGCATGAAACTCATATCATCATGATTAGGCTACATTGTAGCTCTAACAAAAGAAAATTAGAACATAATAAAAGAAGAAACGAAAATATAAATTAAACCCAACATCTTAAATCAAAGACAAGAATTATGTCACCACTTTTGTCTCCTCTTTAAAGTACTTGAAAAATTCTCAGAACAATAAAAAAAACTATCTAAAAGAAAAACTAGCTATACCCCAAAGTTATCTTATTTATAGGATAACATCCAAGACTCCTCTCATAAGGTAATTGCTTCTTTTTCGCATAAAATTAGGGAATAAATCGCAAAATTCCCAATGTGATATCCACCTTCTAACTCTTCTTTGGGTACGATATTCCTTTCATTCTTTTTGCCATATTTTCCTTATTTCTCAATGTCTCATTATGCTGCATAAAGAAAGAAAATTTAAGTAAATAGAAGGAAATCCAAATATTTTCTCACAAATATTGCATTATTTATTGCTTAAAATAGGTAAAATAACTCTACTTTTATAGAGTTTTTTTTTTTTTGCTAAATACTCTACTTTTATAGAGTTATCAGTGAAAAATTAGGAACACACATCCCTTATTCATGTAAGTTGTTCAAAGCAGCTTCTTGTTTAAGTTGCTATCCTCTCACAATAACCTCCCGGACCTCCATAGCTAATCAGGTAGGCCATATCTGGATCTTCGACAGAATGATGATTCTTCATATCCTTAACCTTGGACTTATCCACCCACTCTCTCATATCTGTCGATGGAGGAGGTGAGCAATCACCATGCGCATCAATCCACTGGAGCTGTCGAAAGTACGTGGAATCTCTAATAATGTCATCAGGCATGTGGCCACTTCCCATCGGAGGACGGACTCCATTGCCTCCTGCTAGACCAATTCATCCCAAGCTGTGTGTAGCGAACCATTGCGCATATTTAAGAATAACTCCTTGGGACAGTAATTCACTTTTACTGGTGGATCACTAACAGCTAACATTTTTTTTTTTTTTTATTTTTTTTTTATTTTTAAAAAATTAATAAAAAAAAAAAAAAAAAAAAAAAAAAAAAAAAAAAAAGTAATCTAACCTAACAAAAATTGGAACCAAAATCAAAAATCTTTTTTTTTTTTTTCCTTTTTTTCCTCTTTTTTTCCGCTTTTTCCCACCAATTTCGAGTTGTTTGGTCCTTATTAGACAGAAGAAACTATTGATTGAGTTTTTATATGAGTGTGGCTTATCGTGATTGATCTTTCAAAATTACAAACCATTCCCCCATGAAGTAATCAAATTTTCAAATTCTTCTATAGCTTCTAATACTTCACAGCCACTCTATCTCAATTGGTATCATAGCAGTATACGTTCTGTATCAAATGTTATCAGAGTTAGATTTGTTTTTCATCAGATAATACAGCATAATGTTAAAAAAAAATTACTTATATTCAATACCTTAAAAGGTAAAGCCTACCTTTAGAACAGGAAAAAAAAAAGGTAAGGCCCACCTGTTCTATATGAATTACAAGGTCATAAAGATGTCCACCATAAGTAGAAGAACAACGGAACGCATGACCGAGGGTTATTGTCCTATCAACCTGGACAAACCGGGACATAACATGTTGAAGCATCCATAGCAGTACCCATCGCCCCACAAGATTAAATAAGCAAACTTACCTCTGATTCCCGTCTTTGATTTTCAAAAAGTAAAGGGAGAAAGAATATACCATTTTTCAACTAACATACAACATATGAACAATCGAGAACAAATATCACCGTAAAGTTGTGGAAAAACCTTGGAAAAAATAAGAGATGTTAGATTTTTCTTAGATTTTTAGTCATACTCATAATCATCTTCTAGATATCCAAAAATTTAGTTACCTGCCAGCCAGCTACAATCATGCTAACATGATCGGTACGACCAGTTTGAATCCATACATTATGTGAACTAAACTAATCATGAGCAATAGTTAGATTCCATATGGAAGTTCTACCGTAACTCCATAGTTAATATTTTTTTATCATGTTGTCCACCAAAGAGACCACCTGCAAATGACATCGAGTAATAAACTAAACTGATGCATTGCTAGCTTCTTCTTCTTTTAAAGTAGTTTACAATAGTAGGGATGCCAAATATGACCAGAAGGCCCGAAAGCCGAACCGGCTGAATATTTTGGCTCGAGTAAGACCGAGCTAGTCTTTGAGTAGGTTTGAAAATTTTCATTTGGGCTGCTCCTAGTTGCGAGCCTAAGATGCTTCGGCTCAAATTGGCCCGAACCGACACAGAATGTTTAAAAAAATCTGAAATTAGAAAAAAAAATCATAAATATCTAAATAAATAATTTTAAATTAAGTCATGTATTGTTCATGAACCTCGATAAAGTCATAAATATATAAAGTTAAGCATCAACTTCAAATTGTACAGATTTCATATTGCAGGAGCTTTATGAAATCTTTTAAAATGTAAGTTCAGTTCTTTCTACAAAAAAAGAAAAAAGGAAAATCAATTGTAAAACTATCAAGTAGGACAATATGTGAGAGCAATTCTATGTTAACTAACATGTTTTTTAAGTTGATCAATAAGAAAATCGAAAAATCTTTACTGAGCTCTATGTCCCTTCAACAGAAAATGTTTGACTGACAGTTGTTTGTCGATATCAAATCAATCATTGATATCTCTTTCCTTGTTTTTCATAAATATATCATGACACGACCAATTGAATAAACATGCTTGTATGAAACTTGACGAGATAAATCGCATAATAACATGACAACATAAATCAAAAGATCCCCACGGTGATTGAGAAATAATTACCAAAGTTGTCTTGATCGATGCTTTCTTTCCAACTCCCTGTCATCCTCTTCTCAAACAGCGATTTCACACATGGAAACACTGAAAAGTATGAATAACAAGGCCAAACGTTTCATTTTCATTGCATGCTGATAAAGGGAACTTGATGATTGTGCTGCTTAAGGATCTGGACAATGAACCACTACAGTATTATTTCTCACATGTATTTAAAATACAAGATAGCTAATAATTTATGGAAAAACATTAACTAGAATAAATATAATAAAATAACTCTCCTAAGCTACAGCCTCCGCACGAGGAAAGATGAAATCCTATATTCAAGAAAAGATCAAATGAGTTTATCAACTTTGGATACTTTTGCCGCACTTGCCCAGAATATTATAATTGCTTGACTAGTCTTGCTGGACTAGTCATGATTTAATTACTGTTATTTGTGGCATGTATTTAAAGTACAATATAACTAATGACTTATTGAAAGACATAAAGTAAGATAAATGCAGAAAATAACTTTCCTAAGTTACAGCCTCCACACAAGGAAAGATAAAGTCTCACGTACAAAAGAAAGATGAATATGAGTTTCAACTTGGAACTCTTGTTTCCCTTGCCAAGAATACAATAATTGCTTGACTGTTCTTAATTTGATTGAGAACAAATTTTGGCATTGCTTGGGTGTCGAGAGCTATTTTCTCCAATACTGCTCATTCCTCTGGTTATATCTAAAGATGCTAAATCCATTAAGACTACTTTATAAAATTGGTATGCTAAGTGATGTGCTAGACTATTATTAGGTATTGAATACTGCTTGCTTGCCTAAATTCTCATATACAATCAGCCACATCACTTAACTTTATCTCTTTTGTAAATTAATATCAGTACACCTAGCACTGCTTCCACTTACAAACTCAGAAAGTTTATACGTTAATCAATATTAAAGGCACCTTCAACTTTTACATAGAGAATTTTAGTGTTAAACACTGGTCAAAGGAAAGAGCATTGAAAGACAAAGTGTCCTTGAAATAGTGCATGATCTCCATTTGGCTCTTTATTGACATTTGGAGGTTCAAACATCTTAAATCACTTGGCTAATCTCGCCTGTCAGTCTCTTATCCCATTGAAACTTAGTAATCTGAAACAGGAAGATTCTCCACTTACAAACTCAGAAAGTTTATACGTCAATCAACATTAAAGGCACCTTCAACTTTTACATAAAGAATTTTAATGTTAACCACTAGTCAAAGGAAAGAGCATTGAAAGACAAAGTGTCCTTGAAATAGTGCATGATCTCCATTTGGCTCTTTATTGACATTTGGAGGTTCAAACATCTTAAATCACATCTTACCTTACCAAAAAAAAAAAACATCTTAAATCACTTGGCTAATCTCGCCTGTCAGTCTCTTATCCCATTGAAACTTAGTAATCGGAAACAAGAAGTTTCTCCACTTACAAACTCAGAAAGTTTATACGTCAATCAACATTAAAGGCACCTTCAACTTTTACATAAAGAATTTTAATGTTAAACATTGGTCAAAGGAAAGAGCATTGAAAGATAAAGTGTCCTTGAAATAGTGCATGATCTCCATTTGGCTCTTTATTGACATTTGGAGGTTCAAACATCTTAAATCACTTGGCTAATCTCGCCTGTTAGTCTCTTATCCCATTGAAACTTAGTAATCTGAAACAGGAAAAGATCCTCATATCTATCTTGAAGTTGATATTTCAACAGTCTTAAGTTTTAAATTATTCAATCACAGATACCATTTTTTCTCTCTTTGTCGACAGACAAGCTCATCTCCCAAAAACTCTTCCCTCTTTTGAAGCTCTCACGTAAGCTCATTCTTTTCTCTCCCGATCTATTTTGGGAGTTTGTGTGTGTGAATAAATCTCTGCAGCTGATCTTGGGTGAACATGGAGACCAATTCGGCCATTCATCCATTCGTCTAGTCGACAGCTACCGAGGAGGGTGCTCGTGACGTGGCTCCATAACCTCTCCGAGATTAGGCCGCTCTCCTCTCTTGATTTAGATTTAGATCTAGATCTAGGGGTTTTACTCTCACGAACTAGATCTAGATATAGATATAGGAGTTTCTTACAGGTATTTGATATGTATTCTTTCAATATATTGATGTTGGTGTCTCCCCACGATGATGATGATAAGAACATTGAACCTAGACGAGCACTGCTGTTGCAAACAAAGTGGGAGATCTCGGTGTATGCTCATCACTGAATCTGGTGATCGGCCAACGAACGTCTACGGTAGCAAATATGTTCTTGATGGATGAGAGTATTCTTTTAGCTGCAGACTATGCTTTGTTATTTGCATTATAGCATTTGTTTTGTTCTGCAGTTATCTAGAATTTGCTAGGCTTAAAATCCTTCTATGTATCTCTCAAGCATTATTCTGAGAAATGAATGGAATCTTTCTTTGGATAAAAAAAATCATAGATTACCATGTTCATATAGGTTAATGGTTGGAATGATCAACTTTATTTGCTTGTGTCAATTCAACTATGACTCTTTACTTTATTACCAAAATTTGATTGAAATATAGAACATTCATGGTGAAGCTATAATGGTCAGATAATTTATTTTTGGGTTAATTCAAGTTTTAGTCCTCTAAGTTTCAGTGTATGTGTAATTTGGTTTTCTAACTTTTATTTTATGTAATCAAGTCCTGCATTGTTTTTTATTTGTGCGAATTGATCCTCTAACTTTTATTTTGTTCATTCAAGTCCTCTTAACGTTCTTGATTTGTGCAATCCAATGCTTCATTTACCCATTGTAACTAACATTATCAAATTAAGTTTTTCTTTTCAGTTTGTCTTTTGCTAATTTGGCGCTCATTTGAGGCCACCTCAGGGGCGTGTTCCATTTTTACTCGAAACATCTAAAACTTTTTTAACATATAAATGCCGAGACATAATTTCGCATATAATTTTTCACGATACTTTGAAATTTGGATGATATTTCAAATTTTAAAGGAAATGTAAATACTTCTTACATATCTTTAAATGTAAATAAATAAGCCCATGTTTGACATCGCAAATATCTGAAATTTTTGTTC